ATTTCGAGGGCCGAAAGGTGGAAAATTCCCTGAACTTGAAGATTAGATACTCGTACAGTTATATTTGATTATCATGTGTTAAAGGGAATGAGGAGGATGGGATGTTTGAAGTGAAAAGTTGTCGAGTAAAACAGGGTACTGCCCGAACTCCGAAATTGACCTATTGAACTGCAGGGGGGCGATAAACTGATGGACTATGTTTGTACATTTCTTCCTCCAGTTGTGGCCATGCCAGACAGTTGTACATATTAGAGAACAAGCCGACAATTATGGCCACAAGAAAACAGGAGACGAGCGGTTGCTGATGTTCTGAAAGGGGCGATGGGTTATATGAGGGCTTCAAAAGAGTTTGAGCAAGAAGTGGCTGTATGCTGGACTGTGGGAAAGGTATAGTGTTTTAAAGTAAAAGAAATTGGCATTTAAAAGGCCTATGTAGCACCATGATTAAATATATACAAGAAAATATTGCTCTATATTGGAACATTATAAATTTGGTTTAATTAAATGCGAGGACTGGCTTTTGATTTACCTGAAAGGAACAAAATATCACAAAATTTCAATAAGGCCAGAAAGATGGCAGGTAAAGAAAGACTGGCTTTATGCGTTTCTCACGAGGCACCAATAAATGTCTCTGCATTCTCCTGAAAACAAATCTCTTGCTTGCAGAATGGGCTGCAACCAAACAGTGGTGAAGAATTTATTTTGTTTATCTCCTTTGTCTGACAAATACAACTTCACCCCAGGAAACATTTATAATTCTGATGAAACTGGGATTTCTACCGTACCCAGTAAGCAGATTCAAATGCTTGGACTGAGGGTAAAGAAGCAAGTCGGTGGCTTGTCTTCGGAGCGGTGAATGCCTTCGGAGTTTTTATGCCAACAATGTTTATTTCTTCAGTCTTGAGAGAATAAAGAGTTGACCACCAGATAGCACAGCGGAATATCATCCCAGTGGTTGGATCAGCAAGGAAGTATTTTTCAAATGTTTCTGTCTTTTTATTGAATTTTTAAAGCCAACAGGAAACCCATCCTGCTTTTGGATGGACGTGTAAGTCATACAGAGAGCCTGGAGCTGATTGAACACGCGTGTAAAAGTCACGTCCATTTGTGCTTTCCACCACACCACCTATACATCTCCGTTTTTTGGTTACTTTGAACCAATATTGTACGTAGGATTTCAGGTTTTCACGGCGGTGAGTCCGGAAGGGGCTGTCTTCTGGGTTTTAGTGCCGTGTAATCTTGTATAGTCGGCGCAGTAGCTTTTGGCCGGTGGAATTTTCAAGGGGAAGGCTAGGAGCGAGTCTCTTTTGCGATAATGCTGACTGCGCTGAGGAGCTTATCGGACTGAACGCCCAAACAAAAGAAATACACTGACCGTGCCACGTCAGGTACACGGAGTAGGCCCGTCCGCCAGCTCCGCTAGCTTCTCCACCGGCCAAAAACTACTGCGCCGACTATAGATCATTAATGTTTCAGAGGTCCTTGCTGCCTCCATCATCAGGGCGATGATGTGGTCAGCAAGGACCTCTGAAGCGTTGGTAAACTTCTACCACACTACACGGCGCTACAACCCAGAAGACAAGATTATTCGGATGTAAAAATGAACTGGCTCCGATTGCATTCAGGATGCATTGTAACCACCAAGCAAGTAGCGAAACTTTACGGCGTTTATGAAAGCTGCCTTTATGGAAACAGCGGTTCATGGCTTCCGAACACTGGGATATTCCCGCTGGATCCAAACATTTTCCCAAATTGGTTGTTTCAGACATACGAAAGCATAGACCGACCGCTTGCAGAAGTCACTCTTCTGCACCCAACACCTATAACCGTGGGATGTGGCTATGATGCTGATTCTCTCCCATACAAAAAACAGGGGTGTCCGGACAGTCTGTTAGTGTAACCGCGGGAGCTTTAGGTTTTCATTTAGATAGGCATGAAGTGTCTTTAAAATTTTTCCCACATTCTTCGTGTGCTGCATTCAGAAAGAAAAGCATTGTCGCAACAAAAGACTAAGAAAAACTGCAGATCTCTCAGATTCACCTTTAGAAATGAATTGGTAAGCAAGGAAACAAAAAGATGACAAAGAGGAGGTTGCACTACGAAACTGCTGGAACGTCTAAAAACACACACTAAAGAAAGTAAAAAGGTCCATGAAGAATGATGAATTTCAAGCTTGCTCAGACAGTGAATAGTCCGAGGAAAATTGGATTTATTGCCAGGAGACATTTTCAAACCCCAAAGCCGGTGAAGGTTGGGTAAAATGCAGTTTGTGTGGTTATCGTGAATTAGTGTACCACTGTTACTTGTATGACACGTTCCTAGTTTTTATGTCCTGTCATTGAAATAATCAAGTTCATTGTGCTACAAATTATAGTTCGCCGTGTTACTCTTATCAAACGGGTAAAACAGGGTATTTTCATTATTTTACAAAATCCAGAGTTACAACAAAACCATTGTATGTAAGCAAAAAAGTGGTTCGTAAAAGAAACTGCAATAAACGAGAATCATCTTTAGTCGATTTTACATTTTTGCAGAAAATCAGCTATGATGTACATCTAATTTAAGTTAGCGTACTCCAAAAAACCCAACTTTCCCCACTGATACGTGGGATGTATCGATATATCTTACCAACAACAAATGACATCCTTTCTTTATGAAATGGTGTATTATCGTTCCAGATTTCGAATTTTTGGCCAGCACTGATTCTCAGTGCATGGTCATACATGCAAAAGAAACAAGGCTGCTTAACAGCGTACAGTACAGTTCAGACACAAATTGGGTAATCATTCGTCGATCCCCCCCCCCAAATATTGTCTTAGTACCAGGCTGTGGGAGCCGTGGTTCAAGGAAAGAGCTGTGACTGAACTGGTGGTGTCTTCTACCGCGTGGCTGTCTCTTGTCTGTCTGAGCTGTGCAAACTCGTTCACCGGAACGACGCAGTCTCAAATACCCTTTTGATGACACGCCATTACAATTTTACGGATCATCGAGGAATGTAGTAGGCCGAAATTACTGATTCAGATGCATTACTGCAGTGAACTTTAGTGGTGAGGTAAAGTGACTCATTATACACGGCGGTTGCGTTCATGCGAATCGCCGCGTAAAAGGAAAAAGTATTACACGTGAAACATGACAATCGCCATTTTGAAGTTAAACTGGCGCCAGAATTCTTTGCTTCACATCCCTTGGTAAGTCTGCAGAGAAGGTTCGACGTAAGTTACAGGCTTTAAAAAATGTTGCCGCTGATATTGATGCTTCTCAGAAATTGAAATAAAATTGCGGATAGCGAAGGCGATTAATAGCGAGAGTTGCCTGTGGTGTTTTTCATTCGTACCACACGGTGCAGACACCAATGTCTTTTATTGCAGTTCTTTCCAGTTGGCACGCAGTATTGAGATTAACAACTTTATTTTCAATTACGATTTGATTGTAAATATCACATTTTATGTCTAATTTACTAATGGTCTCCAGAAATAGGTCAATTGAGTCCGCTACAGCGCCATATCAGCCTGTTTTCATCTGCGTACAATCAGCTCGTGGTGGAATATAGCTGTAAACATTTGCAGTAACAGTTTTGCATTAAAAATGAATCCTACCCGGACAGGAAGGCAGCCACCTACAGCGCGCGGCTTTGGAGTTGGATGGGGAAGCGGTGTAAATGGCGGTTTCAAATCAAAGCCGTTAACAGTAAACGAACTTGCTACTGGGAGGGGTATTGTTTCGAAAATGGAAGCATTACCAAGAATTTTGGTAGAACAGTTAGCATCAACTTTCTTTTCTGTTGGTCAAGGACTTCAATTATGCAAGTGTTACTCCCACACTTTGAATGACTTACGCAGACACGCTTTAGTTTGAATACAATGAAATCGCCAGCTGATCACAGGAAGTCTAGTACACTAAATTATACGAGGCGCGTCCCAAAAGTAAGTTTCCCTGGGGCCGTTTACAGAAACAAAACACAATTTCATGGAAATATGTATTGCAACAGATACAGCAAGTGTCCAGCTATTTTTCAACATATTCGCCACCGGAATTGAGACATTTGTCATACCGTGGGACCAACTTTTGAATACCTGTGTCGTAGAAGTCTGCCGCCTGGGATTCAGCAAGGACCTCTGAAGCGTTGGTAAACTTCTACCACACTACACGGCGCTACAACCCAGAAGACAAGATTATTCGGATGTAAAAATGAACTGGCTCCGATTGCATTCAGGATGCATTGTAACCACCAAGCAAGTAGCGAAACTTTACGGCGTTTATGAAAGCTGCCTTTATGGAAACAGCGGTTCATGGCTTCCGAACACTGGGATATTCCCGCTGGATCCAAACATTTTCCCAAATTGGTTGTTTCAGACATACGAAAGCATAGACCGACCGCTTGCAGAAGTCACTCTTCTGCACCCAACACCTATAACCGTGGGATGTGGCTATGATGCTGATTCTCTCCCATACAAAAAACAGGGGTGTCCGGACAGTCTGTTAGTGTAACCGCGGGAGCTTTAGGTTTTCATTTAGATAGGCATGAAGTGTCTTTAAAATTTTTCCCACATTCTTCGTGTGCTGCATTCAGAAAGAAAAGCATTGTCGCAACAAAAGACTAAGAAAAACTGCAGATCTCTCAGATTCACCTTTAGAAATGAATTGGTAAGCAAGGAAACAAAAAGATGACAAAGAGGAGGTTGCACTACGAAACTGCTGGAACGTCTAAAAACACACACTAAAGAAAGTAAAAAGGTCCATGAAGAATGATGAATTTCAAGCTTGCTCAGACAGTGAATAGTCCGAGGAAAATTGGATTTATTGCCAGGAGACATTTTCAAACCCCAAAGCCGGTGAAGGTTGGGTAAAATGCAGTTTGTGTGGTTATCGTGAATTAGTGTACCACTGTTACTTGTATGACACGTTCCTAGTTTTTATGTCCTGTCATTGAAATAATCAAGTTCATTGTGCTACAAATTATAGTTCGCCGTGTTACTCTTATCAAACGGGTAAAACAGGGTATTTTCATTATTTTACAAAATCCAGAGTTACAACAAAACCATTGTATGTAAGCAAAAAAGTGGTTCGTAAAAGAAACTGCAATAAACGAGAATCATCTTTAGTCGATTTTACATTTTTGCAGAAAATCAGCTATGATGTACATCTAATTTAAGTTAGCGTACTCCAAAAAACCCAACTTTCCCCACTGATACGTGGGATGTATCGATATATCTTACCAACAACAAATGACATCCTTTCTTTATGAAATGGTGTATTATCGTTCCAGATTTCGAATTTTTGGCCAGCACTGATTCTCAGTGCATGGTCATACATGCAAAAGAAACAAGGCTGCTTAACAGCGTACAGTACAGTTCAGACACAAATTGGGTAATCATTCGTCGATCCCCCCCCCCAAATATTGTCTTAGTACCAGGCTGTGGGAGCCGTGGTTCAAGGAAAGAGCTGTGACTGAACTGGTGGTGTCTTCTACCGCGTGGCTGTCTCTTGTCTGTCTGAGCTGTGCAAACTCGTTCACCGGAACGACGCAGTCTCAAATACCCTTTTGATGACACGCCATTACAATTTTACGGATCATCGAGGAATGTAGTAGGCCGAAATTACTGATTCAGATGCATTACTGCAGTGAACTTTAGTGGTGAGGTAAAGTGACTCATTATACACGGCGGTTGCGTTCATGCGAATCGCCGCGTAAAAGGAAAAAGTATTACACGTGAAACATGACAATCGCCATTTTGAAGTTAAACTGGCGCCAGAATTCTTTGCTTCACATCCCTTGGTAAGTCTGCAGAGAAGGTTCGACGTAAGTTACAGGCTTTAAAAAATGTTGCCGCTGATATTGATGCTTCTCAGAAATTGAAATAAAATTGCGGATAGCGAAGGCGATTAATAGCGAGAGTTGCCTGTGGTGTTTTTCATTCGTACCACACGGTGCAGACACCAATGTCTTTTATTGCAGTTCTTTCCAGTTGGCACGCAGTATTGAGATTAACAACTTTATTTTCAATTACGATTTGATTGTAAATATCACATTTTATGTCTAATTTACTAATGGTCTCCAGAAATAGGTCAATTGAGTCCGCTACAGCGCCATATCAGCCTGTTTTCATCTGCGTACAATCAGCTCGTGGTGGAATATAGCTGTAAACATTTGCAGTAACAGTTTTGCATTAAAAATGAATCCTACCCGGACAG